GAACTATTTATGCCTGAGCCTATCCTTACCTCCTATTAACTCTTCCTCTTTAAAGCTGTTCCTCCTTCACAGATCTTGGCCCCAATGACTCCTGGTCCTCTAGGATGGTTGCACTATCAATCATCTCTTTGTCTCATAGCTTCACCCAAAGCTCTCTATTGCCCTAGAAATATGTTCAAGTATTCCCCATCCTGTGTGTGTGTGTGTGTGTGTGTGTGTGTGTGTGTGAATGAGGGAAGAAGGGGAACACTGACTGCCCTTATGTCTCCCTCTAGCAGACATTTATCTTCCAACTTCTACTCTAAGCCAAATTCTTAAAACAGCAGTCTACACTCTCTGTCTGCACATCCTCACCCAATTCTCAAACTCTACCATGTGGCTTATGTCCCCATTAACCTACTAAAACATCTTCAGAGCTCACCACTGGTTTCCCCTTTGCCCAGTGCAGCAGAATGTTTCCATCTTTTTCTCCCTAGACCTCTGCTGAATACAACTCTGGATAACTCACCTTTTCAACCTCCATGACCCTTCCCAGTTCTCCTCCCATTCTTGGTTTCTTCTTCACTTCCCTCATGCACTTTTCCTCATTTGCTCAGCCCTTAAATACCAATGTTATTTGGGGTTCCATTCTTTGCCCACTACATTTTCTAATCTCTGAACATTCCCCGTTGGCCCTTAAATCCACTCTCATTACTCAAACTACTATCAACTGTACTGATATCTTTCAAATTTGTCTACCCAAAGTCCAGTGATTTAACCAACTACCTACTATATTTGGATGCCATGCCAAACTCAGTAAGAACAAAAAGTTAATCCATCATCTCTTCCATGAAGCCTGTTCCTCCTCCTCTACTACTGAATTCAATTACATGGTACCACCAACCATCCACTTACCCAAGTCAACAATCTCAGGATCAACTTAGCCCTCCCATCTAAACCTACTATTTCCATTTCCAAAGTATTTCTCAAATATACCATACAGCAAACACCATGGGAGCCCTACCATGCCTACCATGGGAATCCCACTTCCATCTCTGGCCATGGCTGATTTGTTCAAAGGTAGGTATCTGACCCCAATTCATATCAATCGGAGTTACTGTCCAGGAATTTGAAATCAAGATTCAGTGGGGCTGCTAAAACTAAAGAGAACTGAAAATGCACTGGCAGAAGCTATTTTTGTCAGGAGGAATAGAATTCAGCAAAAAACTGATCTGTTACCAAGAAAAAAACTGAACTCAGAGAAAAACAAACATGGAAGATGGCAAGATGATTGATAAAAGCATTTGCAACTCTAATTCCAGCCATTCCTGAAACCCAGCTGCATTCCCATACCTACATGTCCTAGGAAACTTTCGTACTCTAATAATGAATTGCCCCTTTTTCTGAATAAGCCAATTAAAGTTTGATCTCTGTTCCCTGCAACCCAGGGACCCAACTAATACATGCCCCTTCCTTTAAAGTATCCGAGATCACATCTTATCTCTCACCTACACAACTGGAATAACCAAATTAGTTTCCTGGACACCAGTCTTTCCTGCTCCCCTTCCTTTTTCCAACCCCACCCTAAATACACCTAGGAGTCAGGTAAAGAGAACACATAAGACCTCTTCTATGGCTTCCTGTCACAAAGCTCCTCTTCTTACTTGTCAACAGACCACTATTTTATTTGGAAACATAATAAATGCCTCCCTTGCTGGTAAGTGAAGACTTACAATCAACTGTCCAATGATATGAAAATAAAGGTATTCTGTGGGACTTCCTGGAAGTCAAATTATGAAAAAGAGAGTATCCTCCCTCTTGTTATCTAGATTAAGAGGTAAGGCTGTAATGATGACAGAGTAGCAAAACGGTAGAACTAGCCTTAGTCCCAGAAGACCACACTAGTCCCAGACTGCCCACCTGGTTTCTTTCATAGGAGAGAAAAGTTAACTATCTTATTTAACCAATGACTATATTGTTTGGCCTCAGCATCATGAGATTACATACTGAAATTATGTATCTATTTATCTAACTAGAAAATGAGTTCCCCAAAGGCTTGAAAACAAAAACCTCTATGTTTATATTCCCTGTATCTATACCAGTGTCTGATAAAGAGTTGGATTCAGTAAAGGTGCACTAAAATTAATTAAATCCTCTTTTTCTACCCTTCCAATAGCCCTAGTCAGAAACTTTAATTAGCAGCCAGAATTCAAGCATTAAATACCAGGCACTGAATGAAAGAAGCATCATGATACACTTAGTACTCTTATTGTTCAGTCACAGTACAGTGAAACCCGAACAATTCTAAAGAACTTGCCTGCCTTCATTCCCTTCCTACTAAATTTGTTTCTCATTTTCACCAGTATACAATCTCCTCACTGCTTTCACACAATTGCTGTTCCTCCTCCCAAATATGCTATGACCTCATTTCTTTTGCTGATTTTAGTTTCAATCCTCCACCTCACCTTGAAGGACTCATACGCCATCAAGCTTAATGTGCCTCCTGACCTAACACGGCTTCCAGAACTCTTCCTCTCCTGTGTGGTCCTCATAATAACCACACCCCTAATCATATAAGAAAAAAATCTGGAAGAGAGAACCAAGACAGCAAAGTGTTACCAGTAACCATCAAAGAAACTTGAGGACTTCTGCTTCTGGCCACGACAAAATAAATGGCATCAGACTAAAAATACATAGAAATAGAATAATAGAAAATATTTGGAACTGTTCTCAGAACATTGACTCTCAGTAATACAGGGCTGTGATCCCTGAAAAGGGAAACAAATGGGGTGAACACTACAGCGTTTTGCCTTGAAACACCTCCCAGACCAAGGGGCACGGAAGGGAAACAGGTATAACTTGGTGTGTTCCAAGGAGGGGAGTTCAGAGTTTGCCTATATTGCCCTCTTTAACTGAAACTCTTGGTAATTTTGTTTTAAAGATTTTATTTATTTATTTGTCACAAAGAAACAGAGAAAAAGCACAAACAGGTGGAACAGCAGGCAGAGAGGTAAGCAGACTCCCTGCTGAGCAGGAAGCCCAATGCAGATCTCAATCCCAGGACGCCAGGATCATGAGCCAAAGGTAAACACTTAACTGACTGAGTGACCCAGGAGCCCCTACATCTTTTTTTTTTCCCACCTTGATTTTCAACCACTCTATGTCCTTAAAGACAATTTTTTTAAACCAAAATTACATAAAGTAAGTTTTATGACAATAATGGGAATAAATTCACACCCAAAAACAGATTAAGAAAAACAAATTAAGAAAGATGTCTTCCTGGGGTGCTTGGGTGCCTCAGTCATTAAGATTCTGCCTTGAGCTCAAGGCATGGTCCCAGAGTCCTGGGATTGAGCCCCATATAGGGCTCCCTGCTCAGCGGGAGGCCTGCTTCTCCCTCTCCCACTCCCCTGCTTATGTTTTCTCTCTCGCTGTGTTTCTCTCTGTCAAATAAATAAAATCTTAATTAAAAAAAAAAAAGTCTTTCTGCATTGCCTTCTTGAACTGAAACTCTTGGCAATTTTTTTTTAAGATTTTTTATTCATTTGACAGATATCACAAGTAGGCAGAGAGGCAGGCAGAGAGAGAGAGGAAAGCAGGCTCCCCAGACAGCCTGATGTGGGGCTCGATCCCAGGACCCCGAGATCATGACCTGAGCCGAAGGCAGAGGCTTAACCCACTGAGCCACCCAGGCGCCCCTTGGTAATTTTTTTTTAAACCAAAATTAAATAGAGTATGTTTTATGACAGTGACAGAATTAAATTCATATCCAAAAATGAATTAAGAAAAACTGGTAAAATCCAAAAATATCTAGAAATTTTAAAATATATATAACGTACAGGTTAAAAAATTAACAAAATCAATTAGAAAATATTTGAAAAACATGACAATGAAAACCTAACACATCAAAATTAGAGATACAACAGTGCCAAAAGAAACATTAATAGATTAAATATTCATTAGAAAAATTGAAGATTTAGAATCAATATCTACCTTAGGATGTTAGAAAGAAAAGAGCAAATTAAACACAAAATAAGTGTTAGGAAAGAAATAATAAAAAGACAGTGGAAATCATTGAAAGAGAAAGTATACAAACAGAAAATCAATAAATCCAAAAGGCACTTCTTTGAAAAAATTAATAAAAATTGATAAACCTCAAACTATACTGACCTAGAAAACAAAGAGAAAACAGAAATAGCAAAATCAGGAATAAAAGAGGGGACACAACCAGATTCTACAGACATTAAAAGGACAATAAGGAAATATCATAAACAACTTGATGACAAAAAATTCACCAATTTAGATGAAATAAGAAAATTCCTTGCAAACTTAACTTGCCAACACTAATTCAAGAATAAACAGAAAATACTTAATATAGATATTAAAGAAATTAAGTTTGGGATTTAAAACCACCCCACGGGGCACCTGGGTGGCTCAGTCATTAAGCGTCTGCCTACGGCTCAGGTCATGATTCCAGGGTCCTGCGATGGAGCCCTGCGGTGGGCTCCCTGCTCTGCGGGAATCCTGCTTTTCCCTCTCCCACTCCACCTGCTTGTATTCCCTCTCTGGCTGTTTCTCTCTGTCAAATAAATAAAATCTTTACAAAAATTTTTAGAAATAAATAAATTTTTTAAAAGCACCCCATAAAGAAAACTCCAGGCAAAGAGGTTCAATGGTAAATTTTAGCAAAGATTTAAGGAAAAACAATCTTCACCAATTTTGCATAAACCCTTCTAGAAAACAGAAGAGGAATTAATTTTAACTCATATACAAGGCCAATAGTATCCTTATACCAAAACCCAATAGTTCTCAACAAATTGTTGGCAAATACAACAGGGGGGGATATATAGATATAGATATAGAAATATAGATATATAGATAACATGATATATATGATACCACACACACCATATTCACCACATACCATAAATAAACAACAATGTCCAAACGAAGTTTACCCAAGACAGCAAGGTGGAATACCACTCAAAAACCAAAATGTAAAAAATTATTAAATAAGTTAGGGGCACCTGGGTGGCTCAGTGGGTTAAAGCCTCGCCTTCGGCCCGGGTCATGATCTCAGGGTCCTGGGATCAAGCCCCACATCAGGCTCTCTGCTCAACAGGGAACCTGCTTCCCCCCCCAATTTCTCTGCCTGCCTCTCTGCCCACTTGTGATCTCTGTCAAATAAATAAATAAAAATAAAATCTTTTTCAAAAATTATTAAATAAGTTAAATTTTTAAAAAATCCAACCCATGTTAATTCTCTGTGTTGACTGAGTAAAGGAGAACAATCAATGCTCATATTAATAAACACAGAAAAAGCACTTAACACAATTCAGTGTTCATTCAACACACCAACTCTCGGGAAAACAAAAACTGAAGACAATTTCCTCACTTTGAAAAGGGCATACAAGAAAAACCCACAGGGAACATCAAGCTTAAAAGTGACAGATAAATGCTTTCCACCTAAGATAAGAAATGGAGCAAGGATATCCACTCTTACCACTTGATTCAATACAATACTGAAATCCTAACTAGTGAAATAAAACAGTAGTAACAAATGAAATAAAAGGAATAGAGATTGGGGGGAAAGTGTCATTTATACATGCCATAAAAAAGTACTAAGAAATCAACAAAAAGAGGGCGCCTCGGTGGCTCAGACAGTTAAGCATATGACTCTTGATTTTGGCTCAGATCATGACAATCTCAGGGTTGTGGGATCAAGCCCAGTATGGAGCCTGCTTAACAGTCTCTCTCCCGGCAAAGACATGGAGACAGAAGCGTGCCTGAACCATTGGTGAGAGAGACTGTATCCTAGAGAGAGGCAATGATGCTCCCAGCTCAGGAGGACTTGTAGGGAGCAGGGTGACACTTAAGATGTTTTGTAAGCCAAGTGGCAGAGAGATTGAAAATTGTCATACAAGAAGCAGAGACCCAGAAGGAGGCTCTTCTAATAGTCTGTTGGAGAGGAATAGGGGAGGAGTCAAGAAGGCGGAGAAGTAGCAGCTGAGGCGACATCAGGCAGCGGAGATCAGCTAGATAGCTTATCTAAACATTGCAAACACCTACAAATCCAACGGGAGATCGAAGAGAAGAACAGCAATTCTAGAAACAGAAAATCAACCCCTTTCTGAAAGGTAGGACTGGCGGAGAAGTGAATCCAAAGCGACGGGAAGATAGACCGCGGGGGGAGGGGCCGGCTCCCGGCAAGCGGCGGAGCAACGGAGCACAAAATTGGGACTTTTAAAAGTCTGTTCCGCTGAGGGACATCGCTCCAGAGGCTTAACCGGGGTGAAGCCCACGCGGGGTCCGCGTGGCCTCAGGTCCCGCAGGGTCACAGAAGGATCGGGGGTGGCTGAGTGTCGCAGAGCTTACAGGTATTAGAACGGGGAAGCCGGCTACAGAGGCAGAGCCGAGGAGTGAGCTCACAGCTCCGGGTTACCTTGAACCGCTCGCAGGCTCACTGAGCTCGGAGCACGGCCGGAGGCCAGGCAAACGGGAGTAATTGGGCGCTGTTCTCTGAGGGCGCACTGAGGAGTGGGGCCCCAGACTCTGGGCTCCTCCGGGCCGGAGACTGGGCGGCCGCCATCTTCATTCCCGTCCTCCGGACTCTACGGAAAGCGCTCAGGGAACAAAAGCTCCCGAAAGCAAACCCGAGCGGATTACTCAGCCCGGCCCCGGGTAAGGGCGGTGCGACTCCGCTGGGGGCAAAGACACTTGAGAATCACTACAACAGGCCCCTCCCCCAGAAGAGCAACGAGAAACCCAGCCAGGACCAAGTTGGAGAGGGGCCAATGGGTAGATCACCTACTAAGGAGTGCAGTTTCATTACCAAGGAGAGCAGCGGAATTCCAGAGGAGGAGAAAGCAAAGCACTGAATCATGGTTTTCTCCCCATGATTCATTAGTCTTGCAGTTAATTTAATTTGTGGGGTTTTTTTTAATTTCAATTTTTTTTTTCTTCTGCTAAATTTTTTTTAACTTTTACCCTTCTGTTTTTTAACGTTTTTTAACTAATTTACCTAATATATATGTTTATTTTCTTTTTTATATTTTTTCTTTATTCATTTTCTTTTTTTAATTGTTTCTTTTTTTTTTTTCTGAACCTCTTTTTATCCCCTTTCTCCCCCCCACGATTTGGGGTCTCTTCTGATTTGGTTAAAGTGTATTTTCCTGGGGTCTTTGCCACCCTTTTAGTATTTTACTCGCTCCTTCATATACTCTTAGCTGGACAAAATGACAAGGCTGAAAAATTCACCACAAAAAAAAAGAGTAAGAGGCAGTACCGAAGGCTAGGGACCTAATCAATACAGACATTGGTAATATGTCAGATATAGAGTTCAGAATGATGAATCTCAAGGTTCTACCCGGGCTCAAAAAGGGCATGGAAGATATTAGAGAAACCCTCTCGGGAGATATAAAAGCCCTTTCTGGAGAAATAAAAGACTAAAATCTAACCAAGTTGAAATCAAAAAAGCTATTAATGAGGTGCAATCAAAAATGGAGGCTCTCACTGCTAGGATAAATGAGGCAGAAGAAAGAATTAGTGATATAGAAGACCAAATGACAGAGAATAAAGAAGCTGAGCAAAAGAGGGACAAACAGCTACTGGACCACGAGGGGAGAATTCGAGAGATAAGTGACACCATAAGACGAAACAACATTAGAATAATTGGGATTCCAGAAGAAGAAGAAAGAGAGAGGGGAGCAGAAGGTATACTGGAGAGAATTATTGGAGAGAATTTCCCCAATATAGCAAAGGGAACAAGCATCAAAATCCAGGAGGTTCAGAGAACCCCACTCAAAATCAATAAGAATAGGTCCATCCACACCCCGTTACCTAATAGTCAAATTTACAAGTCTTAGTGACAAAGAGAAAATCCTGAAAGCAGCCCGGGAAAAGAAGTCTGTAACATACAATGGTAAAAATATTAGATTGGCAGCAGACTTATCCACAGAGACCTGGCAGGCCAGAAAGAGCTGGCATGATATATTTAGAGCACTAAATGAGAAAAACATGCAGCCAAGAATACTATATCCAGCTAGGCTATCATTAAAAATAGAAGAAGAGATCAAAAGCTTCCAGGACAAACAAAAACTGAAAGAATTTAAACACCAAACCAGCTCTACAGGAAATATTGAAAGGGGTCCTCTAAGCAAAGAGAGACCCTAAATGTAGTAGATCAGAAAGGAACAGAGACAATATACAATAACAGTCACCTTACAGGCAATACAATGGCACTAAATTCGTATCTCTCAATAGTTACCCTGAATGTTAATGGGTTAAATGCCCCAATCAAAAGACACAGGGTGGGCGCCTGGGTGGCTCAGTGGGTTAAGCCGCTGCCTTCGGCTCAGGTCATGATCCCAGGGTTCTGGGATCGAGTCCCGCATCGGGCTCTCTGCTCAGCAGGGAGTCTGCTTCCCTCTCTCTCTCTCTGCCTGCCTCTCTGTCTACTTGTGATCTCTCTCTGTCAAGTAAATAAATAAAATCTTTAAAAAAAAAAAAAAAAAAAAGACACAGGGTATCAGAATGGATAAAAAAACAAAACCCATCTATATGTTGCCTACAAGAAACTCATTTCAGACCCGAAGACACCTCCAGATTTAAAGTGAGGGGGTGGAAAACAATTTACCATACTAATGGACATCAGAAGACAGCAGGGGTGGCAATCCTTATATCAGATCAATTAGATTTTAAGCCAAAGACTATAATAAGAGATGAGGAAGGACATTATATCATACTCAAAGGATCTGTCCAACAACAAGATCTAACAATTTTAAATATCTATGCCCCTAATGTGGGAGCAGCCAACTATATAAATCAATTAATAACAAAATCAAAGAAACACATCAACAATAATACAATAATAGTAGGGGAATTTAACACTCACCTCACTGAAATGGACAGATCATCCAAGCAAAAGATCAACAAGGAAATAAAGGCCTTAAATGACACACTGGACCAGATGGACATCACAGATATATTCAGAACATTTCATCCCAAAGCAACAGAATACACATTCTTCTCTAGTGCACATGGAACATTCTCCAGAATAGATCACATCCTGGGTCCTAAATCAGGTCTCAACTGGTATCAAAAGATTGGGATCATTCCCTGCATATTTTCAGACCACAATGCTCTGAAGCTAGAACTCAATCACAAGAGGAAATTTGGAAAGAAGCCAAATACATGGAGACTAAACAGCATCCTTCTAAAGAATGAATGGGTCAACCAAGAAATTAAAGAAGAATTGAAAAAATTCATGGAAACAAATGATAATGAAAACACAATGGTTCAAAATCTGTGGGACACAGCAAAGGCAGTCCTGAGAGGAAAATATATAGCGGTACAAGCCTTTCTCAAGAAACAAGAAAGGTCTCAAGTACACAACCTAACCCTACACCTAAAGGAGCTGGAGAAAGAACAAGAAAGAAACCCTAAACCCAGCAGGAGAAGAGAAATCATAAAGATCAGAGCAGAAATCAATGAAATAGAAACCAAAAAAACAATAGAACAAATCAATGAAACTAGGAGCTGGTTCTTTGAAAGAATTAAAAAGTTTGATAAACCCCTGGCCAGACTTATCAAAAAGAAAAGAGAAAGGACCCAAATAAATAAAATCATGAATGAAAGAGGAGAGATCACAACTAACACCAAAGAAATACAAACAATTATAAGAACATACTATGAGCAACTCTACGCCAACAAATTTGACAATCTGGAAGAAATGGATGCATTTCTAGAGACATATAAACTACCACAACTGAAACAGGAAGAAATAGAAAACCCGAACAGACCCATAACCAGTAAGGAGATTGAAACAGTCATCAAAAATCTCCAAACAAAAGCCCAGGGCCAGACGGCTTCCCAGGGGAATTCTACCAAACGTTTAAAGAAGAACTAATTCCTATTCTCCTGAAACTGTTCCAAAAAATAGAAATGGAAGGAAAACTTCCAAACTCATTTTATGAGGCCACATCACCTTGATCCCAAAACCAGACAAGGATCCCATCAAAAAAGAGAACTACAGACCAATATCCTTGATG